TCAGGCTCTGGACCCGCTTCCTCAGTCGTCTGCAGAACTGCTACAGCCTGGTTTGTAAGTTTGGCATCTTTTCTTGTGGAATCTTTGAGGGTCCAGCCTGACGGTCTGCGGGGCTTGCAAATGCGAGATCTGGCCACCGCCACGCTCTTCCAACACAGCCATATCAGCCTCGTAACCTCAGCCGCCAGATTTGGCTTTCCGAAGAGTCCTAGGAGTCCTAGAGCAACCCATGACAAAGCTCGGTCAAGGGACACTCTGCGAGCTGCCTGTGGAGTTCCCAGAAGCTGCTTCTGCTTCTTTGTCTGGGCATTGAAGGGCTCGGGCTGGTGCAACTTCGAGGGCTTGGCACCAAGCTCGGCATCCGAGGAGGTTCAACCAGACTTATGTCCGGGCTTTCCGGGCTAGGGCTCGGCAACCGAGGTGGTGCCTCCATTGGTGGCTCCATCTCACAACTCAAGTACACAGCTCGGAATCTACATTTCGAGCTGAAGGAGGCCGCATTTTCCCGTGCAACTGGATCACTAGCAATCACAGAATTTCGGAAGCGCTGACACCACTCACGCAAGGCCGATGTTTTCGCAAAGCCAGGCATTTCTGGGTCTGGGTCATGAAAATTCTGGTAAGGTCAGAATCGCTCCGGCCTGTAGACACTTGTACGTGGATAAGAACGCTATGTAATCGGCGAACGTCCTGAACATGAACCTGTTGTGAACCGAGGATCCTGATCTACCAGACGCCCGTCGAACCGCCTGTGCCTGCAGCATCGCTCTGAATGGCTTCGCCAGGTCAGAGCCTGAATCGTCATGCGCTTCAGCTAGATGAGCGCAAAAAGTTCTGCGAGGTGAGACAGAAGCCTGGAGCCATGGGGCATGCGGCTCCAGTGCTCGCTTCACTGAATACTGTCTGTGGACACAGCTGGTGCCGTCGCGACCACCTGCGCAAGCCGTTTCCTTCCACCGAAGACAGCCGCACCTTGTGCAGGGAAGCATTTTGCTGCAGCAGCACCAGCGGCAGCCGGCAGCAGCAGCAGCAGCAGCACAAGCAAGAGAAGAACAAGAAGCACCAGAACATCAAACACAAGCAGTAGCAGCAGCAGCAGCAGCAGCAGCAACAGCGGCAACAGCGGCAACAGCGGCAACAGCGGGAAGCAGCAACAGCAGCAGCAGCAGCAACCACAAGAAGAAGAAGAAGCACCGAGCAACCTCAACAGCAGCAGCAGCAGCAGCAGCAGCAGCAGCAATAGCAACAGCTCGCAAAATTCAACGGCACAAAGGTTGTGATTGCTTACATAGCGTGCTAACCGAGTCAAGATGCAACAGTGCTTCTTCTTTGCTACAGGAGCGGTTGTCTTGCTCCCATCATCGAAGCTTCCATCGCTGTCGTCATCTCGCTCCATCACGTCCAGCCAGCTGTCCTGCTTCCTCAACGTCTCCTTGCACAGCTCAGGAAGTGGATGTCTTGCGTGCTTGATATTGAAAATGCGGGGGCCCGGGATCCGAAAGCAGTTCTGGACCCTACAGTACGCTACGGCAGGTATACAAACGGCTCGCAGCCAGCATGTCTTCGGAACTGCAGACAAGGTGCCAAGAAGTCCTTGGCGTAGCGGTGAGCAGCATAGTGGGTTTGCCAATTCTGCGACAGGATTTCGCCAAAACTTTCGGCGTCCAGCAAGGCCATGCGGGTGACATCATCCGCGACGAGATCACCCATAAAGATCCATGGTGTCCACAAGCACACCTCCGCCACCCAAGTAGATGAATCGATGGACTTCGTCCCATCCTCGTGAAAATAGGTTAGAGATCCACTCAGCTTCAGACAGGCTGCGACCGCCTGACTGCCACACAAAAAGATGACATCTTTTGCCGCCACGATAGTGTTGCTCAGGGCAGTCATAGCCAAGCGGTGAAGAACCTGCATCGTTTGTAAATCAGGGTCGTCGATCAAGTCCTCAATCAACCGCAGCTTGCACAGCGCCTTTTGGAATCGGGCAAACTGGAGCTCACCCTGCAGCTGCTGTGACAGAAGCTCGAGCAGCGGAACTTGCATGTCAGCGGACCTGAAGGGAAAGGGTGAGTCCGGCGGCTGATGCGCTGATGCTCTGAACTGGATAAGCCGATAAGCTATATATTGCTATAAATCTTTCAACAGTCCCTGCCTCGCTTCCTGCCTCAATGCGTACTGAAACTGCAGGAATTGCGTAACCTTTTGCGTGAGCTGCTGCTGGATGTCATTTGCGGCTAAGTATGCTCGGAGCAATCGGAACTCGTTGGTTTCGTCCTCCTTGATCTTGCTCAATCCGGCCATCAGGTTGCTCACCGTGCTGATCAACGTGGAACTGGTGATGAGCGAACGGAATGCAATAAGAATGCAGAATGCGAACTCCAGGCTATTGATGGGCTTTGCATTGCTGGAACCAACTCCAAGTTGTGCAAATGCCCAATTCAAGCAGACCAGGTACTGATGGATGATTTCGCTGTCTTCCATGTTGCTGGCAGCCACCCAATTATCCGAGCTGAGATGATGCACACCAAACCAGGCACAAGCGATCAAATGGTTCAGCACCATAAGATGTGCAATGCTGCTTGCCAGGCCATAGTACAAGCTCATGACCTGCCGGCAGCCGGCAGCTGCCCGAAGCTTGAAGCTTTCAGCGAATCCTAGGTCCTAGGCTGGGAGTCCTAGGTCCTAGCAACCTTCGCCCTTCGTGACTGTCACACAGCTTGCTTTTTAGGGGCGAGGCACGACGGCAAGGCCAGGCTCTACAGCGCCCCAGACGGGTAAAGTCGAGTTCAGGCGACTTCAAGCACTCACAGCAACAAATCGATGGCACCCTCTGTGCATCCTTCCGCAGGAACCGTACCCTCATTTTCCGTGCAGTGTGCATATTTGTGCGGAGACTCGTGTGCCGCCGTCTGCCTTTTTCAGAGCAGCTGCTGCTGCTGCTGCTGCTTGTCCTGCTGCTGTCACAGGTGATAGCTTGTGACTGCGGGCTCTGCCTGAAAATTGATTGAGACGGAGAGCGAGGCACGCGGACGAGATCTCGCCCCCCCAAGTATACAAGCTCTGTGCCTCGGTGAAGTGTAAGGCGAGTGTAACGTGTGCCCGTGCGCCTTTCAGTCACATGCTGAGGCATACAGCCTGGAGATGTTTGCTACTCGTACAGCCGACATGGCAAGGCCCCAACTGAGCTAAAAGGCAAGCCCACTCGATTCAAGGCCTGTGAATGAAGAAGATCTTGCAGAGCTTCGTTTGCCTGTCTCAACTTGATCCATCGCAGCATCCTTATCAGCCTGAGAAATCGTAGCATGCGCAGCGTGCGCGACCATGGCGCTTGCCCTTCTCCACTATCCGACATATCCATGAAAGCAAGGACCCAATCTAAGGAGATCAGGGCCAGGTCGAAGAGGAGCCAGGTCCTGGAGAGCGAGCTCTGTCTGATCGGTTGTTGGGAAGTCTACGTTTTGAAACATGCACTTCAGCTATTGCACACGAACACCAACGTCCTGCAATAGTGCAATGCAACTCGGAGAGGGGTCATCACAAGTGCGCCCTCATCGTAGAATCCGGTCCGGAAGGATATGAGGAGGTCAACGTTCCAAAACAGCATGATCGTCCACCCGAAAACTGTAAGAGCCACGGTCTGCGGCAGGTCAAACGCATAAAGCGGAATGACAATGAGGTCGTACAGCACGGTGATGGCTGTCAGCATGTTCCATACGGTTCTGAATGACCCTGCAGGGTGAAACATGTACTTCCTGCAAGTCAAGACTGTCTCTGAAAGGTCGTCCAGTCACCGGTGCTAGCCTTGACTATCCTCTGCAGACACTTTTGGGGTTGCTCTACGTGCGAGTCAGTCCTCGGTCCCTCAACTTTCAAGCTCTCCTTTGTGGGCTGGGTCCTTATCTAGAACGGTGGCGCAGTCATCGTCATGTCCAGATTGCACAAACTGGATGACTTGACTTCTCTCGCTCACTTCCTGTAAGGCGAGTGTCGTCAGAGGAAGCATGTCCCTAGTGGCGCCGCAGTCTTGAGACAATCGCCGATTGCCTCCTGGCTTCTTCTGAAGTTTGTTCGCATTCCAACCTGAGCGACCGTCCGTGCTGGATCCAAAAACGACGACGAGGAATTGCCGGCAAAGCACATTCATGTGGCTTCAGGTTGATGTGCGCACTGCTGCCATCGTCTGATACATCGACGCCCTGCACTTTGCCAAGTGTTTTCATCGTCTGCTTCCTCCTGCAGGAGCGTGGGAACATGGACGACCGAAACATTCACCTAACAGCTGTGGGCACGGGTAGCTCCTGCCCCTCACAATCTCGATGCGGTCTTTCGCGCTCAACTTTTCACTGCGGGTCGGATCCAGAGCAATGTGCCGTTCGCTGCGCGCTGCATGCGGGTCAACCGAGATGATGGAGTTGGTGCTCAGCCGCCTCCAGCAGTTCAGAGCTCAAGCAAACTTTCGTATCGGGTACTTGTGCCCGTAGACTACACGGGAAAGGCAGGAGCTGCATCCTTAAACTCACAAACCCCAAGTTGAGCATAGTTCCTAAACAACTTCGGGCAACTTCAAGGCATGGGTTTCATGACACGGTCAGGGCATGTTGAACACCACTGCGCCTCTCATTGACGAGTGGGGCCTGCAAGTGCTCCCCGAATTTGAACTGGAGAGTCTGGAGAGCCGTGCCCGCTTCAGACGTCTTTTTGTCGGGTTGTCGGCCCTCCGCGATCGCAAGATCGGAAGCATAGCCTGGAATCAGAAGCGATTCTACGAAGCTCAACGCAAACTCGAACGTGACGCTTTGCCGGGTGGCACTCGCCGAGCTGTCGGTGAAGCTCCCAGAAAGTGGCTTTCAGCGGCCCAGACAGCCCGAGGGACTCCATGGGGCACTAAGGTCGGAAGGCTCTGGGCCCCAGCTGCAAAGAGCGAATCATATTGGATGTTTGGACAGGCACGGCGGCCCCAAGTCATCCACTGCTCCCTCAACTTCTGAGACCCGAGCTGTTGGCGACAGCTGAAAGGGCCGTGTTAAAGGAGACCAGGTCCGGCGGCCTACACCAGCACCGAGACGAGAGCGAAGAGCAAAAGCAATGTAGTACTACTCACTTTGCGCCTGGGTTCTCCTCGCAACATCGTCCGCAGCAACTGCACGGCTCGTCGCCACTCGAAGCCGCGGCCGCAGGATGTAAGCACCGAGTTGCAACCTTTTGCCAACTTGGTTGCTGAACAGCAAAGCGAAGCGAAAGCCCTATGACTACCCTCAATCGATCCGAGAATGCAGCGTTCATACTCATGGCGATCTTCGGATCGAGGCTGCGTGCTTATGTCCGGGCGCCGCGCTCACAACGTCTGGGCGCAGTCGGCAGCCGGACATTGATTCCAGAAGATGCAACGCCGCCTGCAGGTCAAATCTGCTCCATGTTTTCAGCATCGGCAATTGCAACAGCCGGCTACTTGTAGCCATGGTAAACTGCCAGCTGCCGGCGATTTTCCGCTTGTGACTGGCGAGTCTCAAATCACGTCCGGGCTCAGGGTGTCATAGGACTCTGGCCACACGTGAGTATAGCCTTTGCAGCGCGTCAGGTTTCGGACATCTCTCAGCTTGTACCGCACGACACGTAGGAGAGACAGAAGATACTTGCACATACCTGCAAAGCCGAGCAACCTCGACCAATCTCATGCAGGGCTTTCACGTCACTGGAGCGTTCTTCACTCCATAGCCAGGTGGCGAAAATCCACTTCTCATCAACGGCGGGCAGACTCTGGTGCCTTGTGCCAACATGACAAGTTCTTGGGGAGGCCAACTCTCGTGCGTAATGTTGGAAGCACAGAGTAAATATCCTGTTTCTCATCGCGTCATCCGAGCCAATGGGTCGGGAGAGACTATGCAGAGCGTGGCCTGAAAGGATACGTTTTTTGATTGGCGGGAGAACAATGGAGACGGCTTGGCTTGTTTGGCAGCACACGGATTCCGCAGTAACCACAAACGAAGTAGCTTCCTCTTTTCGAAGCGATGGACTTCTTAGATTCCAGCACACATGCCGCTTCCTACTACATGACCTATCTCTCAACGAACCGTGCAGCCAACCCCATTACAACTTAGTCCAGTTATGTCCAGTCCTGAATTTCGGCGTGGCGTTGTGATTACTACAGTACTATACTACTGTGCACAGTTCTGGGAATTGCGCTGGCAAAGTCAGTGCTTACGACTCAACCAAGCAGCCGTGTGCGCTGCACGTCAGAACAGCGGTCGAGCCGTGCGGGGAAGTGCATCACAGCCAAGCCTCGGGTCAGTAGCAGCTTAGGCCAATCTCGGTGCGGTAGCTGCGCGACGCTAGTGTCACCGCGGAAGTAGAACTACTAATTGAACCCGTCCGGCCTTGCTTCGGTGAAATCTTCAATGGTGGCGAAGCATTTGGAAACTCCGTTTCGCCTCCTGTGTCGATGCTGGAAGTCCGAAGACAGCTGCAGAAAACACAAAGCATACAAAGCGAATCTGCTGCGAGACTGTGGGCAGACAGGGGCTGCTATGCAAACAAGGTCTGCCAACTTTGAGATTTGCCCGCCCACGGCCTTGGTTGATGTCGTTCAAGTAAACGAAGAGAGTGGCCAAGCGAGAGCTGTTGACGAAACCCGCGCTGGATCTCGTTCCGCTTGTGCTGTAGTCCCCGTGTAGCTTAAAGAATTCACCCTCCTCGTGGGAAGCGTGCTGCAGCATTTCATGCTGACAAACACAGCAGGTGGTCCTGGTAGCGGATGATCTGACAAGCCTCCAGCTGTCGCCGCGTGCAGTCCAGGAGGGCCTTGAGGTTATTTTCGCAATGCACCCCGCGAAAGCGCGTCCATGCAAAAAGAGGGAAACCAGAGCCATCACAGGGACTAATTCACCATGCACAGTTCTTTATTGCTTAGACAGTGTGGCAGGGGTCTCGAAATCTCGCCGTTTCTGAGGAGTTTGGGACTTACCGAAATTCGGAATCGTGCTCCCGCCAAAGTGCCTCGCACTTCCCGCGTCTGTCGCGTTCTGCATATCGTGCTCACTGCGACACGTGTTCGCGCCTGAACCGTGTTCCCGCCGCAGTTGCGGTGCACTTGGGGGGCCAATCGTTGTGTGGCGTGCATTTTGGACCGCTGGGATGGTCTTGGTAGCCTCAGGGATGCTAGGGAAACTGTGTGGGGTCTTTGCTGGTATAATCACAGGTCGGGGCACGACGATCTTCGTGATGAGAGCAGGCACCTCAGCCTGAGGACATATGCATTGAGAGCTTGTGCGAGCTGGCGATCGGTTGTGGCCGCTCCGAGTGAAGACACCTGCAGGTACTGGTACACTTCAATGATGTTGCCTATCATATCACGGGAGTTCGAGAGGATTCCCGCCTGCGGGCTGCATGCTGTCTGGCTCGTAAGCAGCTTTTTGAACGAGTCGCTGGCACTCAGTGGAACTGAAGAAGTTCTGCACCAAGAATATGTGAGGACATCTCCTTCCACTGAGGTAACACCCACTACGCCACATCACAGTCATAGCCATGGCAGTCGGGCCTCACGAGCTGCAGACCAGGATATGACAAATTGATCTTGTGGAACCCATGCTCGACGTCGAGGTCAAAGGATGGAGCCTGTGGCACTTAACCACTATGCCGCACTATGCATCTAGAGTCACAGTCGATCACAAGAGAAGCGGCTGTCAGAGCATTGATGCTGTGCCTTGGGCGCATCCGTGTACGTGCGCGATATGAACGGCAGGGGCAGGCTCAGTCGTTTGCCGCGGCAGAACATGATGCAGTTGCACGGGCATGCACCATTAATGTCGCGGCTGCTGCTCCACTTGTGGTTCTCTTTGCCATGCGATCTGCATTTCGTTGTTTGCTCTCACGGAAGACGCAGTTGTTGATTGCCCGCATATGCTCCAGTCTGAAACTACGCGCCTTAAGTCCTAGGTGTCGAGCAGGCTGCTGTCTGCGAGATGCTTTGCAGTCTGTCTGCAGTATGACCTTCTCTCAGGCTACCGAGCCTTTCACAGAAGATGCATGTCCAGACAGGCTCCAATCAATCTACCCATGCTCCACCTCACGGCACTCGTTTTTGACTCACGTACCCGCATCGCCCGGCTCTGCCCAGAACACGACGTCCACCGCGATGGGAAAGTGATCCTTGGCTGCTGCTGCAAACGGCACGGCTGGGGGGAAAAGAAAAAAGACACACTGCAGAGGTTCGTCAAGTAAGTTATGCTTTGGGGAAGCTCGGCAAAACAGACATGTGCTTCCTTGTCAGGGTGCTGAGGGCCAGCGGCCTGAAGCAAGCAGTGTGGGCAGCGGTGCTTGGGGCGCAGCGCCATAGAAAGACCGAAGCCAGGAACGGCAGGGTAGGCGAAGCCGGCGACATGCCCAGGGGCCCAGCTGGCTGGGCTGCTTCCAAGGATCCCAGTAGGCTGCGCCTCCAGACTCCAGATCCGATTGCTTCCGACAGATTCTGCTGGCATGGACAGTTGATACCAAGCCTGTTGGGGTTCGGTTCTATTCTTAGACCAGAACTAGAAGTAGTGCTGAGCTCGCAACACCCTGCTCATTACATTACTGCATGCAAAAGTGTGTTCCGCCTTCCGGAGAACGAAGCCAGCAGTAGTCAATGATCCTGTCGATCGCAGCAAAAACGTGAAGCCGAAAACCGGCAGCGGTAAAGGAGAAGAAGACAAGCAAGCATCTGCCAACCAAGACTCTCTGCGAACCCCTGGCCGCTGCGGGCCAGTGCATTGGTCGTGGTGACGACGCCTGACTCACCGCATTGCTTCTCCAAGTCCTGCCCACAAGAGAATCAAAGACACTTCATGGCTTATTTCTGCAAAGCTACCCTGACCGGGCACTTGCTGTACGCCTGGTAAGCTGAGCGGAAGTACTGGCTCACGAGACCATGTGTCGGGCTCTGCGGCGTCATGTTGAAATCACCGCCTGTACAGTAGGGACACGTAGAGACGCAAGTGACCTACGAAAGGAAGCCGATTCGAGCTACCCGCTCGCACAGCAAAAAGATGACTGCAGCCCGGGGTGCAAATGATTGTGTAGTCATTCTGGTAGCTCAGAACGGTTTGCAGGAGCACGAATGCCTGGGAGCAGACCAATCAACAGTCACATTCCTTGCAGGGCTCCAAAGCCTAGCCCGACAATCCCTCTCCGCCTGGTGCGTTCGTAAATCCTCCCTCGTATCATTCCACGCCAAATGGGTGGTGGCAACGAGCACCTCGGCTACTAGTCCATGCCAGGACCTCCACCCATCAGACTATGTGTCCAAGAAGACATCTACAATAATGGAGCTTCTGGTCTTGCTTGGGTGCTGTCCAGCCCTCAGGAGCATCAGTAGGCTGCAGCTCCACAAGCAAAGCAACCTGAAGGTCATCCAGGTGCTTCTGCGACGGTCTGGCTAAAATTCTGCGCGGCTTAGGCCGCCGGCATGCCCGCTTGGATTGCCCTCATCCTGCTGACAAGCATGCGGCGGCGGAAAGTCATCGTAGTACAGCGGCTGCTGCCTCACCACGCGTCAGGAGTCACTTCAAGGCGTCCACAGTCCACAGCATGGCACTGAGGCACCGAGGCTCTGGGGTCCTGAGGGCCCTGCCTGATGAGCCTGAAAGCTTCGCGCTGCCACGCGATGAGGCAGCCGTCCTTGCGGTCCAGGCCATTCGGCCGCTTGGGACGCTGCACAAACCTGAGGAGATGTGCACGAGAGTTCTCTTCAGGGTGTTGCCACTATGGTTGCTTGGAGTTGAACTGTTTCAGGCCGGGGAGAGTACACCCCGCTTGCACAGCTCCATCAGTGGATGTCTGAAGATGGGGCAAAACAAGCTGATCAATGGGAGACAGGTGTGCGCTGGAAGTAGTCATGCTTCTGTGCAGACGGCCGACGCAACAGCATAGTCTGACCTTGGCTCGATTGGACTGCAGCATCTGGTGGGGACGGGGCTGTAGCGAGCCTAATTTGATCCAAGCCGCAAGCCCAAATCCTCCAATGGACGGTCGAGCTCTACCTGCAGGCCATCCAGACAAGTGATGTGGGACATCCACTACCCAAGCAAAATGCAGCAAGGGGCCTCTTGAAGGCAGACGATTGTTGGAGCCAAGCAATGGAGGACTTTCTTTATTTGGGTAGCCCGGCGGGGCCAGCGTAATGCCTCCGGGTCCACGTCCTGCTGCCCGAGGTATGCACCAGAGCCACGAGCGCGAAGCAAACAAACTCTCGATTCTCTCCTTGAAGAAGGCGCCCGAGCAGTAGGAAGGCGCAAGGAGATTCCACGAAACAACTCGTGCACAGCAAGCTCCAAGCGACTCCACAGTGGCCTCAGTCAGCGACAAGAGAGCCTACAGTTTGCCTACAGTGCCTGTGCACATCTCAACACACAGCAGTGAAGGAGTTCCGGCATCGAGCTGGCCTCGCAACACGGCTCCAAGTTCAGGTCCAGGGGTAACAAGTCGAGAGCAGACAACGCATCGATGTTCGATGTGTCCTGGCGAGAGAGATCTTGTGTTGTCTGCCGATGACTAGACCCATCTCAGGTTCGTTTCCTCCTCAAGGAGCTGCTCGCATCGCGGCTGGCCCCGTTCATTGAAGGCCTCAAGTGAGCGTGTGCGGAGGGTTCTCTGCAACGGAATAACAAAAAGATTTGCTTAGACACTGAGGGCGGGACAAGCGTAAAGATGACTCGGGCACCACAGCAAATGCCGGCAGGAAGCAACGACACCGGAACGTAAACATCCCCTTGGTGCGTTTCCAACAACTGGAACTCACTGTGTGGCACACGTCATCTGGCACAGACTCTCACACGATCTTCTCGACCAAGGTACGGCCAAACGTCTCAAGCAGCTCCTGGCAACGAACGAAGCCGTAGCCGTCCTTGACCGAAAAGCTCCGCAGCACGCCGCGATAGAGCTGCCCGTCTGCCATCAGCACCCAGCAGTGCGTCCAGCATAAGCAGCACGGCAAAGCTCGGCCGGCGCTGGATGGACTTGCGATCCCGCAGAGCGGCTCAGCTTTTCACGTGGCTTCGCATGCTGCTGCTATCCCTTGGCATTGTTGCTTCCATGCAGGAACCACATACGCCTCACCCTCCCACAGTTTTAAGAATAAAATCCATGCCGTGCTTTGCGATGCTCTTGCAAACATCATCGGCCGTTGAGCCGACAGCATTTCGAGCCTTGACGGACACGGCCTCACAGAACTTTGACGACCGAAGGCTAAAACTAAGAAGCCGAGTCTTGGCCAGTTCCAGCTGCAGAGCATGCACTTTTCAACCCGAGTCTGAGCAAGGCCAACATCGTCGAGGCTGTTGTGGCAGCCATGCATGTCCCACAGGATCGCTTGCTGCAGCCTTGGCCAACATCTTCCAGCCGCGGCTCTGCCATGGGCTGCCTGTTGCCCTGGATGAAGAAGCGGAAGCCGGAAGCCCATCTCTCGCCCGCACGCCGCGATCAGGGTCCAGTGGTGTGCTCATTGGTCTCAGGCTGACGAGGCTGGGCAAAGCAATGCCGATGCCCGGGCAGACGTCGACCTGGGTCGGAGGAAGGACGTCAAAGCACCTCGGTCCGATGGGCTGTCGTTTTCGATCGAAGGCTTGCATTGACACCTTCCTTCTCTGCCATGTTTTTCAAGCACTAACACTGCTGCCTGGCTAGTGTAGTTCAAACCGAATTGGCAACACCAGGTTGGCACATGCATTGGATCTCAGCCACGAGCCCATACCAAGGGCACAAGCATGGGCCAACGTGGTCAACCATGGAGCGGACACGGCCTTAAGTGCAAGCGACCCCCCCGAGAGGATGGGCTCCCGACGCGAATCCCAAATGCCTAAGCTGAAGGCATAGTAGACCAGCGCAATCACGTCAAGCAGGGCCGAGATGGCCAGGGACCAAAGCAGTTGAACATCCTTGTTCGGGGTGTCCTGCGGAAGAGCCGTTGCAACAGCCGTAGCAAGAGGGCGGGAGAGCGAGGGACAGGGAAAAGGGAGAGAGAGAGAGAGAGACAGTGAGAAAGATAGAGACTGAGAGAGAGACAGAGAGAGAGAGAGAGACAGCGAGACAGAAAGACAGCGAGGCACAGAGAGACAGGGACCAATGGACCAATGTGCTCACGCTGCAGAACCTTTTTCTGCCCCACTGTTAATACTGGAACAAACGAAACTCACACTGTCCAAGGTCGATGGGTGAGAACTTGGCCATACCCAGATCCACCGACTGCTGACATACCTCAATGCTGCGCAGCACGTCCAAGGCAGCAGAGCTGCCATCGGCCGGCCTTTCCGGGACCGCGCCTGTTGCGACTTCTTTTGAGGTGCCTTGCTCGTACAGGACATTTGGCGGTGCCTGTCCGTCGTTATCAGTTTGAGTTGCATCGTCTAGCTGTGTCTCGTCAGTTTCGTCTACTTCAGCTCTGCTGGCATCCGGTGCAGTGACGGTGGCGGCCGAACGTTTCAAGGCCGCTTCGACTGCTTCTATAACATCTTTGGAGTTCTTGGCCCGCCAGCTCCCACTGTGGAGTAGAGTGATGTGTGGGCGCCACCCGTCACCTGCCAGTTCGGCAAGTGTTGCATGGTCTTCTTCTGGGAACTCACAGGTTGCACAGAGAAGGCCTCCGGCGCAAACGAAGACAACACCTGTGACCTTGACAGCAAAGCACTTGCCAACCAGCTTCTCTGCTGCCTCTTTGCCAGCCGTGTCTTTCCCGAAGTAGCTGACTGTAATGTGCAGGCGGTCCGGCTTCTGCCAGCAGCTCATCCCACGGGCAGCAAGCAAATGCCGCTGGCCTTCTGCGGGAATCTCCGCTCCTGAGCCTTCCCAGAACTGCTGCGGCAGCTCCATGCCGGACAATGCCTCCAAGAGTTTCTCCTCAACATCCAAGCCTGCATATCGGAATCTTGGTGGCGGTGGCGGCCGCTTCGCATCCCTCACAACCTCCAGCTCAGCTGCGTCAGGGGCCCAATATCGCCCCTGCACCCCATCCGGGAGCTTCTGATAATTGCCGATCATGCGCTCCAATGCTGATTCCGGTATCTCCTTCCCCTGTGCTCTGCCGGCACCCTTCCGGCAACGTTGCAAAAGCGTGGCAACATCAAGCGCACCCTGTCCCAACTGTTCTGGCCCGATAATCATGACCGTGTACGCGTGTTTGGCAGCCAATTGAGCATAAACCGCCATCTCCCACAAAGCCATGTTGGTGTTGTCCACGAACAATGGCGTCCGGCTGAGCATCATGCTCTCTTCGCAGCGACTTTGGTTCTTCTGGTGCAGCTCTCCAAGGCGGCGCGGGTCCCACGCGTAATTCGTTTCTCCAGATTCGTCCACCTGTGTGAACCAATCATCGGTGGAACACACAAATGCTCGACAAACCGGCGAGAAAGCGGCCATGGACGTAGCTGGGTTCCATCGAACGCCCTGCGTACTCAGATGCTTAGCAAGCAACTTTCGTGCCACGGTGCTCTTTCCGCATGCAGGCGGTCCACGCATGATGTAAAGGATTTTTCGATATGGATGCTTCAAGCAAACGCTCTTCAGGATTGCAGAGAACGCGCCCGCGAGAGTTCGTGGCAAAGCTTTTTCCTTACTAACTCGCTTTGTTGGCTTCTGCGTCTTTGTTCGCTTATTTGGCTTCCCCGGCGTCGCTTTGCGCTTCGGTGGGGCCGACTTTGCGGGGCGCTTCTTCACAGCTGCAGGACGCTTCTTCGGGGTTGCTTTGGCTCCCTTGGCCGGCTTTGCCGGCCGCTTGCTTGTACCCCGAACATCCGCTCCCGGTTTGCTGCGCTTGCCCTGTTCCTTCTTCGAGCGACCAGAACTACTTTGCATGAGAGTCACCATGGCATGCCACTGGAGTATGCTTCGCCTGCACGAAAGGGTTTCATGCGAGTGTTGTATGACCGTTGACAATGTCCTAATAACTGTCAAGCTTGAGTTCAACTGAGCTTATAATGAAGCACATATAGACCCACTGCTGCATTTCATGCCATGCTGAAAGTGGCTGACGAAGATCACCAAGCATGACATGATGCTTTCTCCGGTATCTCCGACAGTTCGGGCCATGGCGGAGTCAAGTCTTGACATCACCCGGCCTTTCGAACCACCACTGCGAGGCAGTACCCGAGCATTGCACACCACACTACTGAGACCTCGGCTGCTTACCAGGAAACAAGTGCCCAACATGTTGTAGTCTAATGATGCATCCGAAGCGCCCCGGAGCAGTGAACCAACACGCACAGAAGCACCTGACATGAAGTGAAACAATGCCTGAACAGGCATGCAGCACAGACAGCTGACTCTAAGAACACATTGTGGTGCCAGCGGAAACCCGCCAGCCTGGAACGCTGAGTAGAAGACAAAGATCACCAGACTGTAGACACCGGCGCATTTGTAAAAGGCAGGTGCCTCGTTTCTTTACAGCGAAGCTACAGGTTGGAGGCTCGATTCGGTCCACCTGTGCAAGGATCAGTGCGTAGTTGATTACCACGTCTTTCTCGCCTGAGCTTTGCAGAGCTGCCCAAACGAAAGTGCTCAAGAGATCGCAACTACCCTTGTGCCGGCAGGCTGCAACCATTGTAGGAAAGAATGCAACCGATGCTGCCATCGGGGCAATCTGTATCAAAATCGCAAGACATATCAGTTGTTCATGCTTGCAGCTTGAAGCTCAGCTACGACAACGTGCAATTCACCATATTCTGTCTTGTTTGCCACTGACCAAACCTGGAAACCTGTGTCCCCATCGCCAATTCTTTCACGGACACCTGCAACCTACATAGCTTATCACACTGTATACAGGGGGGGTCCCTGTAGCTCTGGTAAGAAAGCCAACTGCCACTTCAAAGTGTCCGTTCAACAGCTTGAGCCGGAAGTGGCTCTTCGCGGTGCACGTGCTCTCCGACGACATTCCGACAGGGTTTAAGAAGTGTAGCTAGCTATACGGTTTTTATGCAAAAAAACATATGAACTCGTGGATGCGTGTGCATTCAAGCGTGTGGCGGGGTCTGTCAGTCTTGTGGTCTCTCCGTCTGTCTGTCCGTCTTTTGGTCTGTCCGCCTGTCAGTCTGTCTCTATCTGTGTGTGCGTCCGCTTCTGCTCTGCTAAACGTGAGCTGCAAGCAACAGGGCGGCCTGCCATAGGCCAGCAGCAGCACAAGTGCTGATTGCAGCATTGAAGGACACCAATGTTGGTTCGATGCGCAACCGCGGCATCTCGCTGTAAAATAATGCCTTGGCACGATAGACCATTACAAAAGGCAGCCGTGTGAGATCATGGCGGTCAGAGGGGTAGTTACTGGCAAGGGCTGAGCCTTGCACCAGACTTTGTTCCCACTCCTGCGCACGCTCGCCTCGGGCACAAGGGCCACTGCTACGGAGCATGAAAAGCCTTCGGGTCTCCAAGAGCATCCCAGGCAAAGCCTCTCGGCCTGGATTCTCATTTAAATGTAGCTACAATCGCTCGCTCGATCCGGTCTTGAAACAATAAAGAAGCCAGGAAAGCATCCTGTCCAAGCACCACACAAGCTTGAAACTCGAAAATCCGCGAGCTTGTGTTTTGTGTGTGTGCGCGATCTCTAATTCAAGTACTGGTGAACTCAGGCGCAAAAACAAAGTGCAAAAACTTGTGAAGTCTGTCAGAAAGCCTGGTTTGCTTCAATGAACAAGACCCAGGAGCTCCTATTCTGGCAACTGTGCAGCCAAGCTGAAAAATGCTGAAGTGGAACAGCGAGGAAAGCGAGAATCTGATCGCGAGAAATCAATTGCGCGGCCGCCTTGCATGAAGAAACACTGCACACGACTCCTGACATACATCATGTTCCCGTAGAATATCTCGTGGCACACACACACACACACGCGAACGTCTTGTTCAACATTGTTCAACCATTGCCCTCTTCAAACTGAGCTGAGTACTGGCTTCGTTTAGACCGAAGGGGGGTTTGCCATCCGCAACATGATTCGGCTGGGCTCGGGGCATGCAGACATCGCAGTAATTAAACCTTCGGCTGAGGCTGACTTGCATGTCGCGCACCGGTGATCAAAACAGTAGACGTGTCAGGCTCCGGCTTATGGAGTCTGGCATGACATCCAGCCACCGCTGTGCGACCTCAGCTCAGGATTTGTTTTGGTTATTGTAAACATAATCCTAATGCAGATGAAGCCCGACGCAGCTGTGAGCAGGACGCTCAATTTTGTGAACAAGCATTCTACGACGCTGCCGAAAGCCACACTGTGCGCTCGGCTTTGATGGTGGAAGCTGCTGCTTGCCAAGCGCGTGCCGATGCACAAGCACTGACCTCAGAGTCAGCTTACGTCACCGCCATCCGGTTCGTTAGATACTTCTCTTTCATTGCCCTCCTTTAGGTGAGTTCCGAATCGGGCAATACTCGACTCCAGATACAAGTTCAGCAGTAACCGCGAGCCGAAAAGATCGCCCCCCATGACAATCGATTGGAAGATGAATTGAATGGTTGCTCCTTCCATTCGGCCTCCTTTAAATATTATAAAGTAGTGCTTACTGCATGCCCCGAAGCTCGTGGTGATCACGTGAGTTTAGCAAGGCCTCTTCAACGACAACGCAACCGCAGGCGCGGGACATACAGCCAACGTGGCCCTGAGTGTGAAACGATTCGGCTCGGAATGGCTCACACATGCCGTTCAATGCAAAAGCGCAAAGTGCTATGCTTGATGAGTGGTGGGTTTCAATTGCCTCCTTACTGATGCACTGGCTGCAGCATGCCATTCATCGGCAAGGCATGGCAGGGCCAACCTCTGTGCTGTAGCATACAAGCTGGCGAAAGATGTTGCCACACAGTGTGACTACGCTAACCAAACAGGAAACCAGAAACCTGGGAAGGACCACAAATCATGCCCGAGCCGTGAGCGACCCGAAGGCTGGCTGCGGCGTTCTTGCCACATTGAACTACGGAATGATGAACTATGAGTTTGAACCTGGAGAACTTATGGCGGAACCCCTCAGCTGTGTCGCAGAAACGTCCTCGTAACAAGCCGTGGAAAACGAAGAAGCAAATGCCGGGAGAGATGCCAGGATTGGAGGCGAACATCAACCCAACCAACTCTTGTGACGACATGCGGCCGCTGTGTTCAGCGTGAAAGAGTCCGGTTCCGGACCGAAGAGCATGAGCTCCTGCATCACAAACCTTTCTGTGGCGTTGTTGGCTCGTTGACGGCTGCCGTCCTCTGCCGCAGTCAATGCCATCTGCCATCGACGCTCGCAAGTCCGGCTCCTGCGCTGCGCAACATGACTGTCCACAAGTTGATACAACTGTGCACGGCCCCACCAACATGAAGCCTAGTCCCGGATTCGATGCGCAATGCGCGTATCGCGGCATTGAACGGGGCGGCATTCACCTGCAGGCCGTTGCGGCGAAGGTCCTGCAGCCGCACAAATCGATGCGAGAAACTAGTATAGCGACATCCTCACGTCGCAAACCTCCAACACGTGGATTGCCTTGCGCCATTCGTGGTTGCAACCTCATGGACATGGGGTGCACGAGTAATTCTTGCCATGAGATGGGCGCTCGGAAATCCCTGCGCAAGAGCTGGACCATACGCCGTGACGGCGGATGTTCCAGTTCGCGACCACTCCGGAAAGGAGCATGCCTGCCGTCCATATGCCCACATCCCGGACACCAAGAACAATTTCCGTCACTTGCCTCAGCCACGGAAAATTGATTAAGCCTTCGAAAACTGCCCCCCTTTTCCACAAATCGCCTGTTCGTCTCTGAGTGTCTTTTTTGTAACGACCGCACACCGAAATCCGGCAGTCAGGCATAACATGTGGTACCTGCAATGCGAGATCGACGCCTGCAGCGACCCTTCGCCCTGCCGCAGCCTTGTGCTATGTAATCGGAAACCTTTGGTCGCCAAGGCCGCGTGCGTTTGCCAGGCCATCGTAAAGGTCGGGCGACGTTTTGTATTTCAGTCTTTCCCACGGACCTTGTTCATCTTGTTCCTGCCCCGGTGCACAAGCCGTAAAGCCTGAGCGACAGCTTGCGGCAAAAAGGCGCACGCAGGGCACGTTCACAACGTGCGGATTGGGAGCGGGGGCTCAGAAGGTGAGTGAATCGGCAGGTGAATCGGCGAGGATGTCGCTCAGCGGTGACAACCCCCTGTACACGTTTGCCATGCCTGTGAGGGGCAGGTACTGTAGGCTGGGCTGCAAAAAACACGTGGCAGCGTGGTGCAAACTATGCCCGCGACCTTGCGAATAAACGGACAAAGGTAGCGGCTTCAGCACTCCAACATAATCCAAAACCCTTCATGCAATCCCATATGCTACGGCATGGAACCGGTGGCGAGCAGCAACCCAGCGGCGCAGACTCATTTAACGACGGCCCAGACCGCCGCAGCGCGGGCGTATCGCAGAATTTTTTTAACACGGTCTTTTCGAGCTGCCCAACGAAAGAGCTTCTAGCCGCGGTCGCAGCTAACTAATCTACCTGACAGGCTACGGACTACGCTGCTCGCGTCAAGGCCATAACGGCAAGCGACTCTGGCCGGCGGGGGCCTCTGTGGTGGAGCAAGGTGTCCAGCCGCGGGCCTTCACAGGCTTCTGGTTGCAGTGGCTACTCCCACACGCCCAATGCCGTGCTGGCGACGGCTGCCGAATACTAAATAGCAGGCTATAGGCACTGCGGACCAAGCTCGTGGAGCGAGCGTGGGTTCGTGTCGCGAGAGAAGCGCTGCGAGCTGAAGGGCAGGTCGTGCCACAGCAATGGCTGGCCCACACCACGGAGCCTGGCGTGCCAGCCGCAGACCGGCGCCGCCTCGACCTGGTTGTGTACGGCGCGACGCGCAGCGGCGGAGCCTTGTCGCACGGGACACCTGCAACCTTGTGCAGCGGTGGTCGACGGCGCCGCACTCAGGGTGGCAGAACGCCGGAAGCTCAGTACCTACCCGGAGCTCTCCAGCGGCGGGCCGCAGCAGCTCGTCGTTTTGGGCTCGGAGGTGGGCGGGCGCTGGAACGACCAGGCGCGCGCTTTCGTGCGAGACCTCGTCCGGTTGAAACCCTCACCGGGCAACGCCCGCACTCCGTGCAGCATGGCGCCCACGGGCTTCGTGGCAATACAGGCCCATTTCCGCCGACTTCACTGCGGACGCAAATCAGTCGAGGCTCGCGCAACAAGTATAGCGACAGCTCCTGTCCCGTGCGTCTTGGTGTTTTCCGGAATCGGAATGTCCACCGAACTGGAAAACCGACTGGGCTTTGGCTTCATGCCGTGAAGGTCCTTCAGCTATCACGGCTGAAGGGTTTAGGGTTTCGGGTTTCGGGACTCACATTCGGGCAATCCAGGCGGGGCATGTGGTTTCCTGGGTTTCGTACATTTAAGGTCGGTCAAGCCTAAGAAGCGAAAAGCCGTGCTTCCCTCCAAGCCCTAAGCCTAAACCCAAACCTAAACCCAAGCCTAAAACCATTTGAACCCCAAAACCGGAATCCTGAACCCGAGCCCTGTTGGCTTTGTGACCCACTGGCTAAGCTCTGAAGCCCAATCCCCAACCCCAGACAACCTGAGCCCAAAGCCCCAAACCCAAGCGGCTTAGGGTACAGGGTTTAGGGGAGTTTCGGGGGTTTGGAAACATTGAAGGGTTTACGCTCTCGCAGCTCGGACATGCCAGACGAGGACTTTGAAGGTTTTAATAGGGTTGGGGTTTCGGGACTGACATTCGGGAATCCAGGCGGGGCATGTGGTTTTCTGGGTTTCGTAAATTTAGGATCGGTCAAGACTAAGAAGCGAAAAGCCCTGCTTCACCCCAAACCCTAAGCCTAAACCCAAACCTAAACCCAAGCCTAAAACCCTGGGCAATCCTCGAGAAGTTGAAGCTGCCGCTGCGTCGGGCAATTGAAGGCCTGGGGCAGGGTTGAGCTAAAATCCTTGGTCCAGGTTTGGGGCTTAATCCGCCGAGGCCACAGGCCCAGGCGTCTTGGGGGTTAGCTCAGGTACCCTCCACCTAATCCTCCAAATGTTTGGGGACACCCGTTTTTTGCGTTCGTTTGCCACCCCCTTGCCCGGCTTCCCCTCATTTTACCTGATTTGTCGGCCTCCCCCCCCCCTCCCAGGCCTCCCCCCCCCCCCCCCCCCCCCCCCCCCCCCCCCCCCCCCCCCCTCCCCCCTGATTCCGTAAACCTCTAAAGGGGTAGCTCTAACAGGTACCTACAGCAATGGCTGCATGCTCATACATATACATTCCGCTGCCCATTGGCTCACAGTGGTTTTACCATATTGAGACAAGACAAGCTCTCCTTGCGTAGCAAGACAAAACAACTACTGTCCGTGTGCAGGGCGCTGCCCTTTGATCCTTAGGGAATAAACTGGTCATACACCTCCTAACAAGGAGCATTTCCTTGTGGGTGTATCGGCACAGTTTTCTGGTAGCGGAGCCCGGAAAGGGCCGCCCGCCTCCTAAAGTCCGCTACAGCGGTCGGCCTCGCCGAACGCTTAACCAAGCGGATAAGAGGCAGCACAATGTCGAGCTCGCATAGCGAAGCCGACGGCAGTTCCCAATCCTCCGGGGGATATGAGAACGAAGAGACCTCCCAAGGTCCAGCCACTTATGTCGCACAGTCATATGCAACATCTGACCGCATGCTTGCATCATTAGGCATAACGCCCAAGATCGCGCCTGCCTATGATGGCACCACCTCGTGGTTTGAGTATGAACAGTTGATTGACGACTGGTGCGACATAACAACGCTGGATGACACCAAAAGAGGTCCGTCTCTCAAGACGAGGCTCTCCGGATTGGCCGCAGTACAAAAGGAATCACTGAACCGAGAAAGGCTTGCAGCCCCAGATGGAGTAGATTACTTCAAGAAGAAGATGCGTCCATTTTTCGTGAAAGGAGAACAGTACGTTTTCCTGTGGCGTTTCCTCGGCCTATTCAAGGCATGGAAGGGCAACCAAGACTTTGTGACTTGGATTGCCAAGTTTGAGATCGTGCTACAGCGCGTGAAAAACTCATGGATGGATCTCTTACCAGAGATAGCTCTGGAGGATGCCCATCCAGATTTCATGCAAGCTGTGCAGGCAGATCAAACCTTCTTGCGCCTACAGGATGCAACCGAGAGAGACACATACGCCGCACGTTTCTTCGAAACATGGAACAAGGAACGCCTTGATAATCATCGAAGAGCGTTTCCTCTAAATGATAATCTCCTAGCTCTCCTCTTCCTAGTGCAGTCCGACCTAAATGAGATGCAACGTGAGAGGTTGGTAACAGCATTGACCAACCAAGGTCACCGAATTGAGACCTACACGTACCCTGTGGTACGGCAGACCATGTTCGATCAGTTCTCAACGACCAGAACTGGTCTGCAGGATCCCAACATTCGGCACTCTTCTCACAAGAAGGACCGCCATGGAAGGAGAGACCAACGCCGTAAACGCGGAGGTCGAAACTTCCTCATCCTCGATCAGGGTGAATACGATGGAGTCGATGGATTCTGGCTCCAAGACGAAGACACCCTTGAGGAAGGCTTTCTTGCCGCCGAGGATGAAGAAGCTGTCTTCTGGACAGTTGATGACCATGAGGCCTTCGTTGCAAGGAGATTCAAAAAGGGAAGAAGACCAAGAATGCGTCCCGGATCACCGGGAAGAGCAAAGGGTGGCAAGCGAAAAGGACGTGGCCGTTTTAGGTCATACCGCGGAAAAGGGAGAGCCAACCAGGCAGAACATGATCCAACTGATTCCAGCTATTTCGGTAAAGGTAAAGGAAAGGAAAAAGGAAAAGGTGGAAAAGGCAAAGGAAAAGGAAAGGACAAAGGAGATAAAGGAAGCTCCTTCAAGGGTACAAAGGCAAAAGGCAAAGGTAAGGATACAGCTAAGTCTGCCTCCTTACAAGGAGACCAAACTGGATCTCCACAGGCCTATGAAAGTTCCACCGCACCGAGCTGGGATTCATGGTATGAGGACAGTTATTATACTGACTCCAGTTGGAATTATGCCGCTTATGACGATCAAACGTCTTATACATACTATGCATCACAAGCCTCACGAAGAAAGACACGGAGAAAGAAGAGAAGAAATCAAGCAGGATCATCAGGTAGAGGCACAGATCCGAGCGCGCACCAAGAACCCGTGTACAACTCATCAGTGAGTTACGTGCCCCAGGTCTTTGAACCATCCGAGGGGCAAGGTGTTGAAACTGCAACAGCAGTGTTTCCGTTGCAGCACACCGTCCTATCTGCTCTCACAGAGCGGATCAATCTTGATAAGAGCCCTACCTTTGTCATACTTGACTCAGGTTGTACTAGGGCTATGGGTTCCCGCTATGCGGTGAACAGGCTTATCAAGGCCGTGAAGCAACGTGCCCCAGGCATGATTGATTTCACTTTCTCAACTTCGAACACGAAGTTCTCTTTCGCAGATAGTGAAACAGCTCTTATCAAGGAGCGTGTAACTCTATGGTTCAACACAACTCCAAGAAGAGATACAACCATAGAAGTTCTGGATCAGGGGAGAGTTCCCATTCTGTTCTCCATCGAACAGATGAGGAATCTAAGAATGACCCTCGAGTGTAGTCCCACAGCTGACCTAGCAACGTGTGAAGCTTTCGGTTTGTATAAAACCCCTCTTCCGATTAGTACCAATAACCATTTGGTATTGGACCTTCTAGGCTTCACT